GTTAGTTATACGTCAGCCTGAACACCTAAATTCTTCCAATCATATATCAACGGTCATCTGTCAATCATATTTTTTCGGTCACAGCATCTTGATTCATATGTCGCAGCTAAGATACGCAACGGTTGAAATAAGAAATAGGAATCATTATTTACTTTACCATTGAGTTCCGTCCCAGTGTTCACAGGGATGGACGTCAGCAGGCGTAGAGCTAACAGAACTGGCAGCGTTGCGAGGCAAGGGCTCAAACATGTATGGCTGTAAGCCTTCCACACCAAAGAAAGCTTCTGCCGCCCTGGCCTCCTCTTCCACAACAACTACGTCCCCACTTTCCTTCTCTAAATAAAACATTTATGATGGAGGAGACTTATCCACGACCTCCAACACAAAACTCTTCTCCTCTTGCATGTTTCCGCTGTCCATAGCATTCCTTGACTGTTGTTGCTAAGTGCTACTTGGTCCCAATGTAATTTCCCATTGGGAACCTACTAGCACTAAGTTGCTAATTGGTTAGCAAGATGCTTCTGAGACACCGGCAGGAACCAAACTTGCTTGCAAACCTTCCGCTACAACAATCCCGCCCTCTTGATAATCGACCAATCACATTCACTTTATTCCCTCGTGTAAGGTCGTGCACCACTCGGGAGAATTCTGAACTGCAGTCGTTGGAACAGCCGCTTCCCTACGACTTTAAGTGTTTAAAAATGCCTCTTTAATTATTGATAAAATAATTTCATTTCATTTATAATGTATTTATTTAAAGATGAATGTAATGGATTCACTTTATATGTTTAAATAAATATAATTTAAATTAATTCTGTGTAGTTTTAGGGGGTTGTCCGTCCATAGAGAAACTTGAGTGTTCAGGTGGGTTGTTGCTTGCAGCAATGATGGATACTGAAGATGATTTTAAGATCATCTGTTCAGCCAAGTTGAAGAGAGCTTCATTAGCTCTGATGAAGTAGGAAACAGGATTATGACCATTTCTCTTCCAGGTTTCGCCATCTCCATAAGTTTCCTTTAATTGTTTGGCATTTTATTTTGAGCATGAATAGCGATTCTATAATCTCTTGTTTACTGCCAAAAAAAATATGAATTTCTTACCTAATGTCCTGTTTGCAGCAAGACGTCTTTAGATAGAGCAATTGTTCTAGCATAATTCTCCACCCTCGGTCTTCCTGTTCTTGTGAACGAGAGCTGGCAGTAAGGAGACCAATGCTCCTATGATTAGGAAGAAACTGCTTGATTACGAAAAAGGAAAAAACGTTGAGTCTAAGAAATAAAAACTGAAAGATAGAGAGGCTTATGACCCTTTTTTCTTTTTTTTTTTGTGTTTTCCGCCTCATCCCCTCTTCTTACACTAAGCCCCTGTTTGATCAACAGAGGCATATTGATTTTTGTTGACGGCTTACAGTTAGAATCAGAGGAGAGGACGATTCAATGCCGACAGTCTTTAGTTCTGTTGACCGAACACACTGCAAGGCTTAATTGGAAGGAAAACTCACACATTTAAATGCTGCAGGGATTTCCATGTTGTTCTCACAAAATCAACCACATGCATGTGCTTTGGGTATAATGAGTGGATGGGTGAAAAAAGGCGTTTTGATGTTTGTTAAAGCTGAGAGCGGTTGTGTACCTCTGATACTTTTTCATGGTGGTTTTCTCGAGAAAACAAGTACATTTTCTCATTATCTAAACATAACGAAAGCCATTTTCTCCTGATAACAAGATGATTGGTGTATGTTAAAACTGATTACATCCTTCAATACCACAACAGCGGGAGAGAATTTATAAGTATAAGTCATGGTAGCCTATGTGTAATTCTGAAAATGATGCCGTGTTTAACTTTTAGGTAACGGGACGACATTGTTGGTTTGATTAGTTGCTTCCACTTCTGATTCATAAGCAATTAGACCTATGCCTCCGGTTTCTTAGTGCTGGGTGTTTTCTGAACAGCCCCGGTGTTACGACTTTAACAGGTATAAGATGCATTAACACCCAAAATGAGTCTAGATTAAAGAATTTCATTTAAAAAAAAATCAGATTTGTTTCTACTATATTCCATGCAATCCAATCATCCACCACGACCTGACAAGGAGTGAAAAGAAAAAGGAAAGTATAAAACTGATTATTTGCACACACGCGGAACCATGACTGCACAACTACGGGCACTGCAGGCATGGATGGACTGGGAATCCAGGGCTGTTTACCAGCCTCATTCATTACTCATACAGGTTAATCATCTCGTTATCTCAGGAAATCAGTAACTGTTTTCCCGTGATAACGAGATAGTTATGTCATGCCGAGAAGGCAAAGGAAGAAAAAAAAAGTATGACCGCTCTTGGCTTCCAAAGGGTGACCAAGAAAGCAATGGTTGTGAAAAAATACAGCACTCTGACACTTATTGTTGTTACTCCAGTGCAATCTACTGTTAAGTTGATTACCTAGGTTCTTATCTCAGTCCAGTGTCTGTATTCAGTTTAATGCATGTTCTTAGTTTCAGTATGGTGGGTCTGCACCTGCAGAAATCCATCACCCGCTTCTAATTTTCCCCCACCTTGATCAGGAGATGGTTCTGCTTGCAACAGTCCACAAAGTCCTGTGTCCTCTGTCTGCACTCTAAGCAACTTTTACTCATGATAAGGCTGACTGAGACTATGCCATAGGAGCGTATTTTGCTTTTATACCAGACTGGTTTAAAGTAGGAGTGTAAATCACACCCATCATGGCGATTCAATTCAGTATAAATTTCCTGACCCAACAATTCGATTATTTTCGATACTCAAGAATTTTCCTGCGCCACGTCTGTCTTGCCTACGTCTTCTTTCACCTCCACTATTCCTGCCATGTCTGTCTTGCCTGCTGGTTACGTGAGTATGTGTGCAAACTGAAAGAGGGTAGTGGCTAAAGGAAGCGAGGTAGTTGGGCAAAATAGGTTTAGCGCCACTGCAGCACGGGAGTCAGAATTACATCCAGGAGCAAATGGATAAAAATAGGCCGGAGGGAAAAAAAAACAAACCATGAATCAATACTCTTGCGAACGTGTTGATGCATCGGATCATCGGCTGTTGGATCGATGCATCGATACAAAACGATTATTATTTACACCCCCAGTTTGAAGTAACGGTGAGGCATAATAGATTCTAAGTTTATTACTGTACAGGTTTCAAATAAGAATTAAAAACTAAAACCAAATAATGAATGAGCTGCTCCAGGACACCCGTTTTATAGTTTTATTATAGGTCATAATAAAACTGCTTCAATCACATTTTGTATTAAAAAAAAAAAGAATATACCTGGATTTTTTTCCTTAATGGAACCAACTTTGAAAAAAAAGTTAAAGGGTCACCACCTCCAAAATTACTTCTAGTTTTTGGGGATGTCAAAACATGAAATCCTTACAATACTAAACAATAAGTTATGATATTTGCGATTAGTTTAACGTATCTGCCAAATATAACATCCATTATCTTAAAGACGTCAGAGAGTAGCCTACAGGGTTTCAGTATCTGTCAGCTGCTTTATCAGCACCAGCAGAAGGTCTTTAGAGCAAGTAGCTCTGATTGTACTATCATGTGGATTGACGACTTTCACTTCTGCCAAGTTCAGTTTTTTTTCTATGCCTCGAGATCTTTTGAGGCAAAGAACATTATTGAATTTACAGTCATTACAGCATAATATCACAGAGGTGTTTATGTCTAAAGGAATCTATGTCCAAGACACATCACAAATTTTATATTTAAACAAGAAACATATGAACCTAAGCCTAGGATACCTAACAACAGCCGCAATTTTGTTCTAGATGTCTGCATCTGGCATAGAAAGCACCAGGTTGGTCGTCATCTTATCCTGTGTAGAAATTCTTGTTGCTAAGCACCACAGCTGAAGAAACTAAAATCACTCAACTTATAAAATATTATGAACACCTTTGACTCTTCTGTCTAAACATTGCTACTTCCTCCTGATTATTTTACTCACTAATAAAAGCATACTTTCACTAAATTCCATCAATCTCTCAATAACCAGCTATCTGAGAGTATGCTCAATTTGGAGGTGTGACTCTTTTTATCCAACCTCAACTCAAGTCTAAAGAATTTGCAACTAAAAGGGCCCTTCTTTGTACTGTAATATTAAAATACCTAATTTTCTCGATTTGACAACATGGAGATAAGGCTACAGAGCAGCTAAGGTACTAATCAATAGTACAGGCCATTCTGCAGTTTCTGCAACTTACTGTTGACTTTATTTGAACACACCACAAGAAGTTACAGGATGAAGAGGTTACTTTCACTACTTTGCTTAAAAAAACTTTGATGTTGCCCTAAAGTATGATACTATCTGTATCTTGTAGATTACTTCCCCAATACTTTCAAGGTACTTTCCAGAACTTACCAGGTACATACTTTGACTTGTAGGGTTGTTTCTGTGAGGAGTAAATTCTTCAACTTCTAGGTTTACCTTCTTGGAGCTTATGGCTTACCTTTCCCGACTTTTCATACTTAGAGGTCACTTCCTACTTTCTATTTGCTATACAACAATTATTTTATATATTTTCCAAATAAGGTACACTTGTTCATGATTATAGATAACAGATAATTCCTTGCTTAAAGAAAGGTTGCCATTCCCGCCCCCCCTTTGGTGTTTTATGCTTAGAACATTTGCTTATTGCCCTCTGTTACAAAAAATTTCACAGTTTTAGCTTGCAGTATAAATTTTCTCGTTCTTGTGACTACAGTGCATTTTTGTGGCTTTCTCTACCATAACACAAAGTGACCTTCCCTTCAAATTGCTGGGTACAGATCAGCAAGGAATGTTCAATTTTGGAAAAGAAGGGTTCAGGAGTGGCTTAATGTTTCACATTCTCTTGAAAGTTTGGCTAGAAAAGAAATCAAGTGAGTTTAATGTAAACCCAGAAACTTCCCCTGTAGATAAATCATGAAAGTTTATTTGTCTTTCATCAACAACCCATAACCTCATTCTTTATCTATTTTTTTTATTTACAGTTCACTCTGTCCTGAAGACTGCATCTATTCCCCGTCAGCTCTCACAGTTTTCAGCTACAAGGTAATCAGTGGGCATCGCTCTGAGTGGTCAGAGCCTCACGGCAGACGGACTGAATCGAGCAGTTTACGCAGCAGCTACCATTAGGGAGTCCAAAGAAAAAGGTGAGCTTTTTCCCTGAGGTGAAACATGAAAGCTTTCGTTTGTTTAGTCCAGCTTTACTCCTCAAGGAAACTCTAAAATGAATCAATTCACTGTTTGGAAATGGTTAAAAATCCCAGACCTGTATTTAACGTGTGGTTAGCATTATGTCAGGATCTAAATGGAAAAAAAGATGAATGCCCTCCTATATATTTCGATATCCATATATCTGCTGACTAGGTTTATGTTTTTCAGGAGTATGTTAATCTAATGGAAACATTGTACAGCAGGTAAATAAGCATACTTAAACAGAAAATGTGATGTCACTTCTCTTTTGGTTTTTAAAGTATCCTAAAATTGTTGTATTTTAATATTAAATGAGCAAAAATATATTTTTTTTCATATAATATTCTGCATATGCAGAGGACTAAAAGATTAGCATGCTTCCTACAGTTTTTTTAACTTTTTATTATGTCACCCAATAAAGCCATTTGTTTTCTAGAATCATTCATTTGTTGATTTATATTTTCCGCTAGACTAAAGTATCTGTAAACATTGATTCTTCCTGCTACAGAAAACACCCGCCATCCTTTAAAGACGACATGCCCAACGGGTCCCCTCATGGCAGGGTCACTATGACGATCACCTTCTTCTGCTCCCAGCCGGTGTTTATACTGGCGGTGGCTGTGCTCCTCTGCACAGTCAGCCAGGTGACTTGTCAGGAGGAAGGAGAGGCGGAGTCGCCTGCCCAGGTTCTTCAGGACCTGCTGGCCCGCTACGGAGACAACAGCACCATCACAGTGCCTCAGCTGCGCTCACTTCTGGCTTTACTTAGTCAGAGTCAAAGTGAGAAATCTGATGAGAAAAGAGATGAGACAGAGACAACTACAGCTACACCTCCCGCAGCAAACAGCTCCAAGGTACAAACTATTCTCGGTCTGCTGTCAGCATATCTACTCAGTAAGGGTTCCCTACAGTCGGCAAAACTGATGACATTTATTTAAGCTTTTGATCTTTACTTTTTATGGTGTCAGATTTATGGGTCATTATAATTATAACGACACATAAGAGGAGAACCTAGGTAATGTGAATAGTCTGATTTTTTATTTTTATTTATGTTTTCCTATGGTGGAGGATTTGGGCAATAAAAAAAAAACAAAAAAAACATCCACTCTGTAAATCGACAAAGGCTATTGATTGCTGACTTTAATTTCAGAAGTCTGATTTTATTCTCAGAATTAAGGGCTGGTTATACTCCCGCAGTATAACCTGTGTCACAGTTAGCTTGTTTCAGGTATGATGCCTATATTTTTGATTTATGCCCAAGTTATTCCATGCCACAATTCAAGAGGGACAATCACGAACTAGCTCGGATTGTGGGTGTGGTGGGTGGCATTTTTCTTCCAGTTACCAGGGTCATTCAACAACAATGGCGACTGGACCAATGCGCACTTTGACTGAAAAGTAGCTAATCAATCTAGAATAGATTCACTTCACTATTCTAGCTGGTCCATCTTCATGAGTCCTTTTCCACAATGGCGGTCATACAAACAAAACAAGCCGGTAAGGTACCAAAGAGGAAATACGGATAGTGTAGAGCGGATGTAGAGTTGACCAATCAGAGGCCTCCTGTCTGCCGTTCACCTACAGTTTTGGGAAGGTGCACCAGAGTGTCGGCGGAAGGGGGGCGCATATCTGCGTTAACTGCGACACACACGCAGACAACCTGGTTTCTGAGTATAAAACAGGCTTTATTCTTACATAATTATGACTATTAGTGATATTCCTATTTTATTGAAGCGATAATCCTGGGCTTTGGCAACGCTAAGTACTTTGACTTTCAATTCTGAGATTAACAGTCAGGATAAAGTCAGAAATCAATAACCTGGTTTGTTTTATTGAGTCGTTGTTCAGTTCAAGAATAGATTCATTTAATCCAAACACTCACTATTTCATTTAAATGTGACTCATGTTAAAACAGACATCTGAAAATTCACATAGCAGCCAGATGACAGCACCATATTACCGTGAAGTCAGTACAACAATAATATTTGGACTATTAAAAAAACCTTTTTGAGTTTGAGAATTCCAGATTTTTATCTCTACACTGGATTAATCCCAGTTCAGTTTGACATTTACAAACCTCCTCAGTCCAACCTCTCCCTCTCTGGTTGATGGGTCGTGGACTTTCAAGCTTTCCTTTTATATTTAGCACCACATTTTTCCTCATACTTTCATCACAAATGCAGAAAAAGCAGAGGAGTCAATTGTTCTCCGGCTTTGGCTAGGAGAGTTAGGTACTGGTGCCACAACACAGGCATAGTTTTCATATTTCCCGTACTTAGTGTCATAAACACTGATCTGCTTTTTCGGAGATTAATACGGAGTTCTGAGAAAGCCTCAAGTGATTGAAACTTAACATTACATTACACATTCCAGGTGATGATTTTTTTTTCTCGCATGTCCTTTTCCTGAAATTTGCTGTACCAGCAGAGAGTATGCAATGCAACAAAAATAGATTTAGATTTTTGATTTGCTGCCATTTTGATGGCCACATGCCTTCCTGGCTAACTCTACGGCTGCAGCTCACATGATCGCAGACAACAGCCCAGTAGCAGTCATTCAAGATAAGCTTAGTTTATCATCATCCTCTAGTCCTCTATGGCAGCAGCTGTGAACACTAAACATGCTTCTGGTTTAAATACTGCTGTCTGCTTGTAATAGAGGAGATTATTTTCCCTATTGTGGTATAACTGTGGACTAGAGCTCGGAAATTTATAGAATCCTCAATTATACCTATTAGTAAGGCCAGCAGGTGGCCATACATGTGCATTACGAGGCATTAGAGAACTCCCAGAGCTAAAGTGAAGCAGTGCTATGGGCACGATTTCCTCAGAATGGCTGTAAATCAGGTTTTTGTCCCCGTTTTCTCCTCTTCTTTTGATGAAAAAGTGAGACATTTCCTGGAGGGTGTTGACCAATCTTTCCTCAGCATCCCATTTTTAATGTACTTCTAATGTTTCCCATCCCAGTGTTTGCCTGCAGACACGCTGGCTATTTACAGCATCAGCGAGCAGTCCCGGCTGGATGGGCAGGGTCTCCAGAAGCTGTGTCCCACCATGCTGCAGCAGCTGGATGCCGGCAACTGCAAGGTGAAAAAGGGGGAGGAGCTAAGCACGGACCCCTCCCCCAGACCTACAGATGCAGAAGGTGAGAATAAGCTGAATAATCTGAATGACTGTAGCTATTAAATTGCTTTTCTGTATAGTATTTAAAATGAACATTGACCTTTTTGTTTAAGGCTTCATCCTATTTTCCCGTTGCCTCAAACTGTTCCCTAACACTGTCATTGTAATTAGACATTATCTGAAAGGTGCATTATTTTTCAGAGTATTTGTCACACTGGGTGAGAACTCAATAACCTTTTAGAGTGACAGTTAGGCTCCACCAGCACATCCATTGTGTACCATAGATCTAAACCACAAAGGTGAGCTCAGCTTTCATCAGCTGCTGATTGTCTGTAATTTAATCCATTTTGCTGAGTTTGCGCAGCCAACAGGATGTCCTTGAAAGATCTGGAAACATTTTTTCTTTTACATACTGTAAATAGAGAGGCTCCTATAGGCTGTTGTTGCAGCCTGGTACAGTTAGTTGTTGAAATAAGGTCATAGAACCTGCTGATGTTTTTTATGTTTTAAGTTTCTTTCTGCTTTTAAACATGATGCAGTTTCTATAAGTCATCTTATTAAAATTTCTGCTTCTGGTAGGAAAGTTTTGTACTTTAATTGACCATTTTTCTTTTTTTTAACATTTGATAGGTGAGAGTAACAGATCCCAGAAGTTTGCTTCTGTCTTTCCAACAGCAGATTTGTTTTTCCTTATCAGCCGCTCTCTCTCGCGCCCTCAGCTCACCTCCCAGCCCCCATGAGAAGCTTATTTTGGCCCCTCAGCAGTTCTCCTTTTCAGAGCCAGTAGAATTTTCCCAGCAGCACAGAGGCAGACGTTACAGAGGTTCATATATGCAGCAGACAACCTGAAAACTTTTTAATTCCATCTGGAACTGTAGTTTAAAGACTTATGAATGTTCTTGCTTATGTTAAACATATCCTGAATTTGCCAAATCTATTTTTCTTTTTTACTGTTTTGGGGTGTTTCATTGTTTCCCCACCATGCTTACCTCAGCAAATCGTTTCTCAACTCTGGCAGCTTGTTATCCCAGATGTTTCCATTGGCTTAAATACGTTAAGTAATATTTAAGATATTTGTTAAAGCTGTCAAATTTAAAAATTCCCTTGCCATTAGAAGTATTTAGCCTCGTACTAAATTTGACTTTTTGCATTTTTTTACACAAATCGTAAGAGCAAATATTAAAATATAGATTCCAAATGCTAGTTTCTTCACAGCAGTTGTGTACACATGATATATTAGGGGTTTTTTTGCTTTTGTTTTACCTGTTATTATTTCCCATTATCATTTAGAAGCAGCTCTCACAGCAGTTGCCTGTTTGGACCTATTGCACAATTTGCAAAGCAAATGACGTAATATACCAAAAATATTTGCAGACAAAACTTAGCCTCTGCTAACTGTATAAAATGAAATTATAAAACTGAATGAGGATGTACTTTTTTTGACATTTTTGAACATTTTTGTCCTCCAGGAAAGAAGAAACAAAATGAAATAAAATGTTTGCTAACTCTAACTCATTCCCATTTTAGTTAATAAACTTTAACATTTGCGGCAGCCTCGGATGAAAAAAAGAATATTTAGCTTTACTATTTTGGTTTCCCCAACTTGCTGACTATATTGCATTTGATTATATATAAAGATTACCTCTATGCAGCATATATAAGCTATTTGGATTTTATTTTTCAAACTTTTTAACTCTGCTCATATTGTTTCTTTGATGTTTTAAGACTTTTGATTTTCTATTTCTTTTCCAGCGGTTTTATTCAACTCTTAACATTCAAAGTTTTCTTCACAGATTCAGTTTTTTTACTTTTCAAATAATGTAAAATTGGAACTTCTCAAACATTTTAAGGTTATATTTAAATCTTGTTTTTTTTTTTTTTCTTTACAGGATTGTATTTTTTAAAGCAGATGTCCTTTTAGTTCATTGTGTATGGTTTTAACACTCCTCTTTATTCCATACCCAGTGTGGGGTTTTTCTTTTTTGAGCGTGACTGTGATCAGTGTCTGTTCCCTCACCGGAGTTGCCATCGTACCTCTGATGAAGACGCATTGCATGAAACACGCGCTCACCTTTTTCATCGCACTTGCCATTGGCACCCTCTTCTCTACAGCCATCCTCCAGCTCCTTCCTGAGGTTTGCTCCCTGCCTGTATACACACATCTTCTACACCTTTCTCTTTGAGGACACTGATAGAAAAGCAGAAAAAGTGTGTCTTAAGAATCTCTCGTGTTTTCAAGTTTGTCCAGTTTTGTACTTTAAAGATTTATTTTTTTCCTCTCCATGCTTTTGCTTCTTGAGGATACCTTTCATTATCTTTGATTAGCAATGAAATGCTTTTTGTATCATATATGTGTTTACATTAACATTGATCCAGTTTTGAGCAGAATTACAAAATGGTTTAACTCTAACCATAAGCACACAGCAGATCCCACAGTTACTGTTTATGGAAGAAGACAGAAAGTTTATGTGTAACTTCAGTCTGGATTTAGAAAGGAAAGCAGCAGCCTGATGTTTATCTAATATGAACTTATCGTCAGCAAGTGTGACGTCCTCTATAAAAACTCTAACACTGGCAGTTTACTGGTGTAGGGCCAAGGCAGAAAGACACCAGCAAGTAGAGATTTGCTTCCCATTATCCTGATAACGGTTCTAAGTTTATCTCAAACTATTTTAAAGTTCTCTATTTTGCAGTCGATGGAGCTGTAATCTTTAAAGATTATAGCTCCATCTTTTATGATTGGAGAGTTTCATAAGAATAAATCTCAAAATTTCTGGAACGATGTCCTTCAAACATATCAGCCCAAACACCACCCACTGTTAAGCTTGGTGGTGGAGGGGTAGTGATATGGGTTTGGTTGGCTTTAAATCAAGCATAAACTAAAAGTAGATTAAGGTCATTTGTTGGGGAAACATGGGGAAACTGGGAAACATAAGCATAAAGACGTGGAGATTACTGAATATTATCACTGCTGAAGGTGATGAAGGCCTATTAAATCATAGAATTTACTCAGTTCTTTGATTTTTTTTATTAAAAATGACAGATGGGATCTGCTGTTTTCTTCTTAAACACATTGTTAGATTTTTTAAAAATATATTTAAGAATCCAGTTAAGACTGGATGAACTTTATTCTTTCCTAATATAAACAGAAAGATGAAGCGTTTTCTCTTTACCACGACTATAAAACACATATAGATACATTAAGCCTTTTCAGTGCTGCTACTCTCATCTTCTTTGTGTGAGCAGTGTTTTTCCCGAGGCGATCACAGTCACACAAACTCACCTGAGTGGTTTGGAACATGTTTGTTTAGAATTTCCCTATAATCACTTCCTTTGTTGAGAAAATGAATGGATTTTAAAGTCTGCTTCACGTAAAGAGGAATCATTTCCTCTTGAAGAAGATTCTTACTTCTCTTAAACTTTTTTCCAGGCCTCCTGTCTGTGTAAAGAGTCTTTGTTCAATTCTCTCTCCTGCAGGGATCATTGGTTGCTGTCTAATTATTTTGCTTCTCAACCCGGTAATCAGTCTCATCAGATAATCAGAGCACTAACCACCTGTCTTTGTCTTTCCTTCCCTCTCCTTTCTGCTCCGTCGATCAGTGTGGGGTTATGGGATCCTGTGTGTGACACTGATCTCTCTGTGTTCACTGATCGGGGCCAGCGTGGTGCCCTTCATGAAGAAAACCTTTTACAAGCGACTGCTGCTCTACTTCATAGCCCTGGCCATTGGCACGCTGTACTCCAACGCCTTGTTTCAGCTCATCCCAGAGGTAGAGTTACTGCTTTCTGTGGCTCATAAAGCGGCAGTCTGAAACCTCAGGGCAAGGTTGTTTTCTAATTCTCCCTCCAAACACTCCTGGGTACTGATTTTACATAATTTCTTGGGTTTTCCCTGCTTCAACTGTTTCTGTTAAATACTTTTTTTTATTTGATCACAAAGACAAACTTATAGTAATACTGGTTGAATGAAACAGATTTGTAGATGTTTATATAGAATTTCGTGTCATGGTTAAATTATTAGCATCTAAGCCGCTCCTTAATGTTAACACCTTAAGCTTGGATTTGAAGTTCCCGTTAAGATGCATATCAACTAAATTACACACTAAAAGGACAATTTTAAGTAATTAGTTAGATACCATATTTTCCAGACTATAAGCCGCTACTTTTTCGCCACGTTTTGAACTATGAGGCTTATAAGAAGGTGCAGCTTTTCTGTGATTGTTCCTAACCACCAGAGGGGGAAGACAAAGTTGGAAATGAAAGAATAAGGGGCTAACTTTCATTTAGCACAAGAACATGCTAACAGCATGCACGGTGGAAAATTAGATTTGACATTTATTTGCAGCATTAAAGCTGCCAAACCAATGAACAGACTGGGCTCAACTCCTGCAGAGCTGAAATAAAGAGCTGAGGACGCCCCACCTTTCAGTGGAAACTCTTACTGCTCTGAGTCAACAAGCTAACGAGAGCTAGCATTCTTCTTCATCCCTACTCCAGGGGCGATAGGTAGAGCTCCCCTTACAGGTTTGGTGGGAGAAAGTTCAGTTGGTATCAGCGGCTTATATATGTACTTTTCCAGTTTTTTCAAAAAATGTAGTGGGTTTATAGTGAGGTGCGCTCTATAGTCTGGAAAATATGGTAATAAAATGTTTCCATTTCCCAGGAATCACGTTTGGTTATTTAGGCTTAAATGCTATAATTTGCATCACAAATTTAGCCTGAGCTTATAGTAATACGTGTAATTAAGATTAACTCTGGCCTATTATAGATGCACCAGTTGACATATGATCACAGCTGATAAAATATATCTAGATCTAGGTTTTCTACTCTGCGTCAAATAAAAAGTGTGATTTGACACCATGGGCTTGTTTCAGCAGATATAAATCAGCTGGTTTAGAAATATTATTTCAAAATTAATCATATATCATTTACAGTTTAGATTTAGTAAAATCTGAGAGATGTGAAACTGTACACCTAAATAAAGCTGGTGAACTAATCAACTGTATAATAAAATAGGCTATTATCTCAAAAAGAAACACATCTTCCCCTGATCTAAAGAACTAACAGGGGCCTGGACTCTCTGGGCATCACAATCTAAAGCAATGACTCAAAAACAGGAAAGAGAAAAATGGCATCATTGCAGTGGATCTATTACCAAAACCACTGTTGAACAAAAGGAGCTGAAAGGCCCATCTCTCTTTTAGCAGGAAATATCTTGATCTTGATTTTCTCTTCATTGATGAGAAAGCCCTTTGTAGAATGTCCCGCCTCAGTTTGGGGCCAGGTTCCTCTGAAAATCAAGATTCAAAAACAGTTTTTATATTTACGCAGGTTCTCTTTACTTTGATGTAAAACGTTACCATTCTGATTATAGAATATATGTCAATCAAAGGATCATTAGGTAAGAATAGGAGTCCTGTTAACACAGTCTGGTAGTAAATGGCTTAGAGTAGATGCTAAACTAGTGCAGATAAGCATCTCAGAACATCTCTGAAGGCGTTCTGATCTAAGCCATCTCTAATCTGTCCTTAGCACGTTCACACCAGTGTTTAACAGGGCCTGGGTGTGATCGGACCACCTAGGAAGGATGGTAGTGCCAGGTCTGAGAAAAGATGTGATAAACAAGTATGAGTTTGAAGACAGCAAATCCTTGAAATGTTACTTTTGTAGATAAAAACAGGTTTGCATTAAATGAAGGTCAACAGAACATTTTAGAGATTGCTTAACACTCTGAATGTGTTCTCTTTTTGTGTGAAGCTTTAAAGCCCCTTTAATGAGCTGGCATGGTGAAGCTTTTAATCTGCTCTAAGCCCAGCTTGGAGTGTAAAATGAAGCAGCTAACAGTTTTAAGTTTGCAGGTAAAAAAAAAATCTACTGTTAGGCTTAAAATTATTCAACCCCCTGGCAGATTTAGACATTTAGATTAAGCTACTTTAACCCAGAAAATGAGGCTGGCAGCATTTATAAAATTATGTAAAAAGGGCTATATTTTCTTTTTATCCATATTTTTATCTTATTTATCTTTTATAATATAATGGTATAATGGTAACTGAGAGTTCTCAATAATTACTCTTTAATTGACCTTACAGCAGTGAAACTTTTCCACTAATTTCTAACCAGATTTTTGCCTGATTCCTCTTTTGTTTTAGAGGTTGGATGGCCTTCTTACCATCACCCTAATCCACACTTCCTCTCACGTATGAGGAAGTCACGTATTAGTGTGAAAATCAAATTAATAAAAGTCCCAAATTAAAAATACTACTTAAAACCTAAATCTGCCAGATGTTTGAATGCCTTTGGTCTTAACTATAATTCCTGCTACTTTTGGCTTCAGACTATTTCCTAAGGCACTCATTCAGGTCGGCTCGCTGGGTGTGGATTATAATCCAGATGCTTCGAAACAATTTCTGCAAACATCCAGCATTACGGTGATAAAAGCTCCTGAAACAAGCAGTGGTGTAAGTCCTCTGAAAAAAATATCCACCTTTAAGCTCAAAGGTCTCTGTTGGAAGTCTCCCGCCACATGCGGCAGACGGATGAGTCACGGGTTAATTGCAGCTTTAAAAGATTTGGAGACTTCTGATCAATGAAACTAAATGTAATGCAATAAAAAGGTGTTCAGTGCCTTTAAGATATGACACTAACAGGGATAAAAATGGAAAATATAAAAGAAATAGAAAATGAAGCTAAAAACAACCTGAGCACTGAAGTTAACCAGAAAACTAATAAGCAAAGCATAACAGTAATGAACCGTAGGCTGTTTACAGCTTCTACTACTGATGAATGTCACTCTAACATACTCCTCTCTCTGCCCTGGTAGGCCTTTGGTTTTGACCCCATGGTGGACTTTTATGTATCCAAATCCGCTGTGGTCTTCGGAGGCTTCTACCTCTTCTTCTTCACAGAAAAGGTTCTCAAGGTTCTCCTGAAACAAAGGCAAGGGGTGAGTTTAAACCCACCATGATAAGGTGCTGCTGTTACTCCATAACTGTGTTTGATAGCGTTAAATTAAATGGTCCATGAGTCTGTGAAGAGTATGCAGCCTTTAAATAAAAGTGTACATACGTATGGTTCAATAACTAACCAGGCAAAACTTTTCCTGTTTTACGTCTGTATGGTTGGTCAAAATATTTTCACTTTGTTAATTCCCTAAAATAATGAGACATATTTTGTTTGGCTGTGACTCCATCCTGGAGATATACATCAGCTGTGCCACTGCCATCAACACCTTTGTCTATAGATGTTGGAGCTTGGCCTGTTTTTCAGAATAGTCCTGTTTGTCTGACTGTGACTGGCTGGATGTGCTCACTTCATCCTCTGACATGGGAGCTGGCTCGGAGCACACCTGCCTGGCTGTGTGTTTCCTGGACAGGGTCACCTTTAGAGCTGGTTTACAGTTGCCTTTTGTATCCCTGCTTCTTTTTCTATGTCTGCTTCTGTTTCCTTGAACCCCATTCGGCCTCGGCAAATGGCCGTTCCACTGAGCCTGGTTCTGCTGGAGGTTTCTTCCTGTTAAAATGGAGTTTTTCCTCTCCACTGTCGCTACAAGCATGCTCAGTGTGAGAAATTGCCTTTGAGTCAATGAGTCGATGTAATCACCTGGTTTTTCTTAGATAGAAAACTTTGAATCTATTTGACTGAATGATCTGGTTGAATTGTAGAGCACCTTGAGATGACGTGTTGTGAATTGGCGCTATACAAATAAACTGAATTGAATTGAACATTTTAAAAGACACATTGCAACAAAGTTCTCATACATTTAATTAGTCTTAGCATAGGATGCTTGGTACTAGTTTTGCCCTTTTACTGTATGGGTTTGTTCACACGTATTAATTTATTTTAACAAGCTTCTCACAGTTTTTCACTTGAATCTGGACCCATTTGTTTCCTATGGAACGTGAGAAACTGACCAAGGTTTGTAAGCGGCCTCATTGCCACATATTCTGTACTTTCACATCAGCTCTGTTGTTTTTAAGCTACTTGTAGCTAATTAAATGTTATGTTTGGTATTCTTAAGGTCATTTGTTGGTTCTACATGGTTGAAGGGTTGTTGCTTCAATATCTCCACATCAGCATCCTCATAAAATCCCAATAAAATGCATTAAAATGTTGTTGAAATATAACAAATTGGGAAAATACATCTAAGATTAATAAATATCTTTACAGAGCTCTGAGTTTTTAATGCATATATGGCTTTTCCAGAGTTGTATTTACTGGACAAAACTGTCACTTCGGCCGACATTTACCCCTAGGGCCATTAGGCCGCCTAACCAAACACCTTGAACTTTCTCGTTCTGCGTCAGGTTTGACTTGTACGATGAGATGTTTGCTTTACACGAACTGATGTGGTTCAGGCTGTTTAGTTTGCTTTTGTTTAATTTGGGCGTTGCACAATCTTTCCACATGATTCAAAGCCTAATGTGGTGAATCATTGATCATAATGTTAATAAAAAAGGCTCTAATCCTCCTAACAAAGGTCCCCTCCTTTAATTTATTTTTGTCTCAGCTTTATATTGTTTGTTTAGCCCAGAATAATTGTGATTGATTATAGGCGTATTTGGCTTTGTTTTAGTCTTTCTTATTTAAAACCTGTGAGATAGAGAAAGTAGACAGTATTATATCATTCACAAAAATTGAGCAGAACCAAAGATAATCAGCACAGTGCTGCCATCTAGTGGTTGCTCTGTTCAAAGGAATTTGGTCTGACTGTTAAAGTAGCAAGTAAACCCTGAATCTTTATTTCAGGAATCAGTTACCTAAAATAATGTTCAATGTTAAAAATGGGCCTTAATATTCTCAAAAATATATTAAATCAAAAATAAAAGTAGCCTTTGTTAAAACTTTCCATTAGATTATATTCCTGCTTTTAAATAAAGGGATGCTTTAGGGCTGTTTTTCTCCTAAAGCCCTTAGTGAACCTTTTATGATTAAATCATAAAATCTTTAAGAAAAAAAAATAAATTAATATTTAAAAATATATAATTTAAAAAACAAAACAAAACAAACAAACAAAAAAAATGGTCTGAAAAAATTGGTTGAAATGAACATGGAACTGGTTCATCTGACAAAACATCTACTGCAATCTGAGATAAAACCTGGGATATGGGAGCATAAGAGAAAAGCTCTGAGCAATGCAGAGGAATTTTGTTAATATCAGAATCAACTTTCTGTGTGCTCCGGGATTTGATTAATCTCTGGATCCACTCCAGAAGGTTGGAACAACTCTGCAAAACCTTATTGTAAAATGGATTTATTCACAGGCATCCTACGTTTCTATTTAATGAATGTGGAATCTATAAGATTTTGTGCTCCTCAATAGCTTTTACAGTTTTTGATTTAATAATCGGTGATACTATTTTGTTTTTTTTCATATTTTTGATCCCAGAGCCACGGCCATAGTCACTACAGCGGTGCAGACCGCTACTCATCACCTGACAGGGATGCAGAGGAGGGGGAGAAAGAGAAGCTGCAGCAGAATGGAGAATCCAACAGTCTGACTCAGGGAAAAGTGGACGACGCTGGGGAGGGAGAGCTCATGCTCCACCCCGCACAGACACCGCAGGTGAGATTTACCTGTAAAACTGAGAGGTTATTTTATTTTGTTATAGAGTTTAAAGTCTCTTGTAATATGGATCCAGACACGTGAAAAAGGTTTCCTGTTTTACAAGCTCGTTTGGAAAGTTTTAGATCATTACACAAGATTTACATAAAATTTTAAAAAAGTTTTCAGAATGTATTGATTAAGGAAAATGAGCTAATCAAATCAGCCTGGGCCTATTTGGAGAAGGCAATCACCCTCCACACATAATATCCTCTTTGATTCAGTATTTATTATTTCTTCAGATGACTTACTTACATAATTATATAGAAATTTAGACCACATATTTTTTTGACTAGGCTGCACAAAAACCTTTTTTTTTAATTCAGTGTATTATTCTATTCACAGGTGAATCCTTTTTTTTTTTTTGTCAGAACTAAAGAACCATTGATCTTAAGGTCACAAACTGATGCTCTGACATTTTCTGCTTAACGTTTAGAATTACGTTACAGCAAGTTGTCCTAAATCAGCCCCCAGCCATCACCACCACTACCGTGTTGCTTTGATAACTTCTTGTTTTCATAATGATTCCTTCTTGGAGATCTGTTGATTCTACAGGCCTGCCATTTATTAGGGATAGGTGTACCTTTGGAACTGAAACCCCCACCATGAGTTAATTTGTTTTTAATGAGGTGGGTATATTTTCACAGGACCAGGTTTGTTTGAATAGCTTTTTACCTCAATTTAGGAAAATCATTATTTGAAAACTGTGTTTTTTGGATTTCCTTTAAACACTAAAGTTTGTTTAAATCTCTAAAAGCTTTTTTTTGTTTGTTTGTTTGACAAAAAGCAACGACAGCAGGATTGAGAATGAAGGTCCATCCTTCTGCTCTGTCTTAAAGTCGTCTCCTTTGTCTCTCCTTCTGTTCCAGGAGTCTCAGAGTCCAGATAACGGAGCCCGTTCCGGTGGCGGCTGCTATTGGCTGAAAGGAACCACCTACTCTGACATCGGCACACTGGCCTGGATGATAACGCTGAGTGACGGTTTGCACAACTTTATCGATGGCTTAGCTATAGGTGCCTCCTTCACCGCCTCAGTATTCCAGGGCATCAGCACCTCCGTGGCCATCCTTTGTGAGGAGTTCCCTCATGAGCTTGGTAAGTTTGGCAAACATGGAGCCATCAGAGGCTTTGCAGGTGGAGAGTGAGGATCAGAACATAGACAATGATAGGCCATGTTGTCAGGGGTTTTTAGCTGATTCTGTTTTTCCCCTTCAGGTGACTTTGTGATCCTTCTAAACGCTGGTATGAGCATACAGCAGGCCTTGTTCTTTAACTTCCTGTCAGCCTGTTGTTGCTACCTGGGTATGGGATTTGGCATCCTGGCCGGTAACAGTTTCTCTCCCAACTGGATCTTTGCTCTGGCTGGAGGAATGTTCCTCTACATCGCTCTGGCAGACATGGTGAGTTAACCCAGATGCTAATTCGTTTCTTTTTTTCCTGATGTGTTTGGAATCATTCTCTTTTTTAATGACCCAGTTGGGGGCATCCTTTAAATGTCAGAAAGATGGCCTCATATCTCAGTTTACAGACTGAACTCTTACCTCAGTGCCTCCAGGTTGTCAGCCTGTAAAAGAAGCCCATATCATTACCCCTCCACCTTCATAGCTGACAGTCTGAGCAGTTTGTGCTGATAGATTTTGTTTTCTTTAAGCAGTGCAGCCAAACATCTTCACATTGTTTTGTTTTTTCTCCAATTTCTCCAAATATTCCCTATCTTTAAATGCTTTCTGTTGTTTTTAACCATTTATTAAAATGAGACATATGTCAGTAGAGAGACCCCTAGATCCTACAGAGCAGTGGGTCCTGAGTACCAGAGTTCAGAACCTCTGCTCTGCTCTAAGGTGTTCGGTTTCCGCCAGACCTTTGTGCTTACACACCTCTTTAAGGTAAAGAGCAGTAAAATGTCCAAAATCCTACCTTTATAGATGAGTTGATGTGCAATGCATTACTTTGCTTTTGCCTGCAGGGGCGTTTCTTTACCATTTGATTAAACGTAGTATTTGCTTGTTAATTTACTCTTTATCCAATTTTTATTTGGTCAGTATTCATTTTCTTTTCTTTTGTAAGTGAATAATCTTCAATCTTTTTTAGGACAAATCAAGTGGAACAGCCATACATGGATTGGTCTTTACACCTAATCAAAACAATGTTGTTCTCTTTCAGTTTCCGGAGATGAACGAGGTGAGTCGTGAGGAAGAGGACGCAGGCGGCAGCAGGTTCCTCATCACCTTCGGCATCCAGAACGCAGGACTTCTGACGGGCTTCGCCATCATGCTCCTCCTCACCACGTATTCAGGGCACATACAGCTGGGCTAGCAGCGGACTCTTTGCTGCGGACCGGGATCTGGTGATAGAAACTGGAGAAGCTTGACTGTGCGGCAGGAACGCACAGTCCAGTATTTAAAAGAACTGACTGTTTGATTATGTGCAGCTCTAACATGCAGTAAATTTCAGACCCATCTGCCCCTCTTTTTCTCCGACCTTTCTTTCCTTTTTAAAATCATCACCTGAATCGGTCAGTGTGTGGTTCTCCTTTTCCTTTAATAGGCTTTTAATTCCTCTGAATAGTCATTAGGTTTCCCCTTTTGACTCCTTTATTCTTACCGGCTTGGATGTTAAACTGCCTGAGCTGGCATCAGACTCATTATACCCATTATCCCTTATAGATGCAGATCAAGATAAAAGCTGCTATGAATCTATTTTTTCTCTCCTTCATTTTTCACCATTAATACCAAAAAGCACAGATCTGGAACTGGAACAATTCCTCATAAACTTACTTCCATTTCACCTTGTTTTGTCTGTGTTGAGTTAAAGTTTAACGACACTTGATGTGAAACTGACTTTTAAAGACCAAACACGTTCGGTGAAGGGCTACACAGTGATTCATTGTGTGGTATGGAGTTGTCTTCATCCTCTTTATGCATTTTCTGAATAATCTTTCATCATGAAGATGCTGTTTAATGTTTTCATTTTTTTTCCAGAAGGGATGCAGCACCCCTGCAGCAGCATTTCTCTGTAGTTTACCATCTGTGCCCTTCATTTATATAACTGTGAATAGTTTGTTGTTGTTTTTTGCCGATTATGCATATTCAGATGTTCTGTTATTTTATTGCTGACCACATCTTTAACTAACATCCCCAACTGGCAGAACTTCATGGTCTGTATGTGCAACAAACCTGTGGTATGGCTGTTTCTAAGTGACAATCCTGACTGGAGTAAACACTCATTATTACAAGTGTGAGGACTGAACACCTTCTATAGATATTAGATTGTTTTAAAGCAGTATATTTAACTACTAATGTTCAAATAATCAACAGCGATTACAAAAGGGCAAAATAACACCCTTTCTCTATTCTCTAAAGTTTGGATGAAGTTATTTTCTGCATAGAAAGAAGAAATTCCTACCTATTCCCCCCAAATATTTCGCCTGCTTGAGCCCAAAGATGGACCATATTAAAAAATAGCAAGGCTTTGCTAATTGGGTCGACATTTTTATTAAAAGAACCAAATTATCACGGCTTTGATCCTCTTGGTTGATTAAAAGCAAAGCCTTTTGTTTCAGAGGGAGAGATTTAAACTGGAGGGTTCACATCTGCCCTAAGTGAAAAATGAATCTTATTATGTAACCTCACAGATTCAGGATGGGACAAGAAGGGAATACCTGATGATTTTAATGTTCCAGAGCTCCAGCGTCACAGAAACAGCACTGAAGCTAACTGAGGAGTGGCCGTCCTCCGTAGTACAAAACCCGCTGTCGTCAGAAATTCACTGCGCACATGTTTCAAGCACTACTGTATAAAAACGGAGTTTTAGATTTTGTGATTGATGCAGGACAGTTTATGACACTGTGATCCAGTGGGTTAAAACAGAAATGATTCTTCAGGAAAGACTCAGTCACCCAGTTACACTTTTGACAGATCCCACCCCAACTCATCACGCTTTTATTTGAAAGGAATTATTACAATCGCACCATTTCCAAACTTTAGGGTCCCCAAGAAACCACAGAATATCCTCTAGATATTATCTACACCTATCCTCTAGGTAGATAGGTGACTGGTTATGTTTTTAATAAGCCGACAGCTGGACAAAAAGAGTTCTGATGTTTCATGGAACCTTAATGGTCTTGAAGCTATCCTGAAAAGTACTGTATAGGTGTCATATTGGTGACTTCTTCTGGCTTGAAATGAGTCCTTCTCTAAAGGCCGCTTCAGCCCGAGATACCACATTTTGATCGTATTTGTACCCCGGAATATTAGGTCCATATTAAGAGATGCGTCTTTTCTCATTTCAAAAAGAAGTCCTAATAAAGTCCTAATATTAAGAGAATAATGGTATAAGAGTTTTAATGAAGAGAACTGAGATCTGCAACCTAAACCATGCATTTTAATGCATGGGAATACTGACCCCAGTTCAAATTAAAGTACTTCTTTATTACAACTTAAATGTTGTAACACCATTCTTTTTCTTATATCATTACTTCATTCTTATTATATAACTTTTTTTTTGTAAGATTATGTCTTTATTCTCACATTCTTGCTATTTTCTCGCAAACCTATTATTTTATTACTTTATTTTGGTAATAACGCTTTTTTTCTAGTAATGTTATCACTTTAACCTTGTAGACATAAAATTAGGACTTTAATAATAAGGATGGCTTTATTTTTACAATTAAAAATCTCTTTTTATGGCCCCAATACTCTGTCATGTTTGTGGCTATTTTAATCCTCTAAGGGGGTCATATTAAATTAATTTTAAGTAGTATGGGATTAACTCCAGAATTGGGAAATAAATAAGTGGAATTATCATTGATTTCAGCGTATCACAGCTTAAAAGAACAAGTGAAAAAGTAAACGGTTCAGCTTATTCCTTTTTTTTTTAAATCAGTTTATAGATTAAAATCAATTAATGATGACTAATTGAATTATTCATCATGGGAACATGATCTGTTCAGTGCTGCTGTAGAAAATGATTCGCGGTTTGGTGCGTCGCTGTCCCTTTAAACATGCTGAGATTATCAGAAATAGAGTGTGCAGATTTCTCCAACATAGCCAGAGTGATCGGGGGTCAGATCCAGCATACCTTTCCCTTCGATCCATTCCCTCTTTTTCATTTTGTCAGAAACTTCAATCAATTCCTGGAAAGACATTTTAAAAACATAGTATGGCAGAATCACTGGTGTATGATGAAGTGATGAGTGGGACTATTTATTATTTGTTTTACGCCATGAAGTATTTATTTAATACTTTACACTCCAAGCCATGGTGACCTATTTGTTTTGTTTGTTGTTTGGCTCTGCTTTATTTTCTTGTTTGTTAAAGAAGGGGGAAACTGAGTCGTACATCATGAAACCTCACTGCATCACATATTTTGACTGTATATTAAAACTATACTGAAAACAGAGCATAAGAACACACTAAGACAATATATATATGGATCATTTTCAAAGTATTGTATGCAATGTTGTTTATCGTTAGACTTCTCTGTCATGGCAAACGTTTTATAAACATTATTTTTTATGAAAGTCGTGTATCTGTGTCCTCATTGTGTCTCGCTTCTGATCTGACAAAATGTTTTTTTTCATTTAACCAAGAAATTTGTTTGAGACTGAAAATAAGACTGATTAAGGATGTTTAGATGTGTATTTAATTTAGAAATAAATGAATAAATTGTTATATCATCCTCAATCATTACATTATTTTTAATGAACTTGTCCATTTTAAAATATTTTCAAAATATATTCTTAATTTTAGATTAGATTTTTATTTGTAAAGCAAAGTTGAGAGAAAAAAAGATATTAAAAAAGGGAGAAATATGGAGGAAATGTATAAAGACGTCTATTGGTGTGTAATCTGCATCAAAATGAACTCGTTGAGCATCTCCAACACTGGAAAAAAACAGTCTAGAAATAAGTCAACATTTCTTTAACAAAGTGTATTTATCCTTAATTTGAATAGGTAAATTAGATGATTTGCCAATGGATGTAGTATTTTTACTCTCAAGATAACATGCACAATTTTTTTTTCCTTATTTTAAATGCAAATTGTCTTGTTTCATTTGCAAAGTGGCCCACTTACCTGCTCAATTCAAGAAAAAATTATTTTAAGAAAAAATTATTTAGATTTCATTTTTTTTCCAGTGAACACAGAAAGGTAAAATATATCCTAGATCAATAATCCCAGGAAAACCGAAACCCCTCTGAGGAACTAAGGCCTGAGCAGCCGAACCATAACCCGGCATCTTATCCTTGCCTGTCCATCTCCTCCTATCGAACAGTTGTCAACTCCAGTCCCTCAGGGCGAGTGTCCTGCTTCTAGAGGTCTCTCTACAGATCAGAAATTGACAATTACATCAACCACAGAACTCTCTAGAGCCTAGAATTTCAGTAAATGAGGAGGTAATTAATAATACGGCTCAGATGTGTTGGACTCAGACACATTTAGCAGCTAATTAATTATTATAAGCAGTAGTAGTTGCAGCAGTATAATAATCTTATTTTTTTTTTTTATAAATCTTATACAGCATTCAAACTACAAGAAAGTGACAAACTGATATTGCAGACAGACCCACACAGATCCACAGTGTGTGAGAAATGATTAACAGAAAAAAAAAAAAAACATTTATTTATAAGCAGCATTAGGTGTGTGGTGGTATAATATTCTTCTCTTTGTTGTTCTTATTGCAATATATATGCTTATATATATATAAATTGAGATTTAGAGCACTTTGTTTAAGTTTTCATGAATTGATGCATGTCCCAAGCAGGATTCGAACTGGCGATTTTCTCCCCCTCCTTTCCTCCTCCTTCAGTCCCTTCTGCAGACTATTGTTCCCCAGCTAAGTCACCAGTTGTGCACACAGGAAGTCCTTGGTTCAAATCCCCACTGGAGGAAATGAGTTGCCAGTGTGGGTCATTAGGCATGACCCTTCATGCTAACGCCTACTTGGTAAATTGCTTCAGATAAAAGCATCTGCTAAATGCAGAAACAAATTTAAGGATTGGAGTTTGAGGCACACAAAACACAAATCAGAGCACAAACTTGATTTCCAAGAATATGGTCTAAAACTAAACCTAACGTGCCAATAAGTCGACAGTTTCAGGATTAAAAAAAAGCCAAACTTCTTTGGGCCTTAGGGTCAACATTTGGTAGGAGCCTTCTTCAAACAGCAGAGGTCTCACAGTCTCTGAGGGCCACACTTCTGTGACTTTGGTTGCTTCACTGGTAAAACACACCTGGTGGCGTTCTGATGGATTCTGCTAAGGAGCCAAAGATTGAAGTCAGGTCTGTTGAAGCAGATGTTGCTGTTGCTCTAGAGCTAAACTTCACAATAACAAGTATCAGAGAAGACCAATACAAAACAAATAAAGTACTTCGGCAAATCCAGAAATCAATAGAGAGATTGTACAAATAAATGGTCTGTAATTATATCCAAGGGTTTAACTTTGTTATTAAAGTTGGTGGGGACACTTTTACATGGGTGGGTTCTGCAGCTACTGGACCTGAAGGACCTGAAATATCAAAACCTGAAGGTTTTGATATTTTGTTAAAAATGAGCTCCAGCATAAATTAAAAATACACTAATATCTAAAATTACAGATAGACAGATACAGTACGCTTTAGTGCCTCTTTTATAAAGTGCTCAAAATCATGAGCAACATTAATAAAAAAAAATGATATATATTAGGAAAAAAATAGCAGCAGCTGATACAGATGTCAACGGCGATATATTGGGCATCCCTGCAGATAATGTCATAAATATATAAAATTATATATATGCAGGGATATATATATATATATATATATAATTTCAAATAGAAAAAGCTATCCATCCATCCATTGCTGTAATAAAACTGAAAATGTACTAAAACTAACAAAGACTGCAAATTAGGATTCCCAGACATACATACATATTACATCCCAGATAGATGGATGGTCTTCATTTCATCTGTATCATTTTTAATTTAATTAATTTTTTAATTACCACTCCCCTTCAAAAGCAGCTAAATCTAATTTAGAGTTTTTTCCCCACACATATCTTTGACAAAGTCTGAATATTGAGGGTTATTTTTCATTTTATTGTTTGTGGTTTGAATCTTGTAGGTTTCTTAAATTT